GAAACAATGAATGAATGGAAATCCAAAATCTCTGTAAATGTTCATTAAAATGAATCATTTTTTTAAAGTAATCAAATCAGAAAAATGCAGAATTACAATAAACTCAATCAATGCCTGTGAGTCTCACTATCAGTTTTCAAGGCTGTAAATCAAAAGAGGAGACTGCTTGTCTTTCTCCTGCAGCACCTGGTGGATGTAAACAGCCTGTAACATACACCCTTTTCACTTTTACCAGACTAATGCCAACTTGTGGAGGGAATGAGGAACAAAGGGCTGAACATTCACAATCACCCATTTTCATTTGACTCATAGCGTCCTGAGGTTCTCCTGGAGCAAACAATACTAACCACTATACCATCAGAGGCCTTACATTCACCACTATTGTTATCATGTGCTGTCAAGCCGTCTACAACTGATAGCGACCCTATGAACAACAGCTCTAAACCTTGCCCTATCCTGTGCCATCCTCACAATCTCTCACATGCTCAATCCCATTGCTACAGTCTTTGTATCAATCATTCTTGTTAAGAGTCTTCCTCTCTCTGACCCTTTACCTTTCCAAGCATGATGTCTTCTTCCAAAGACTGGTCCCTCCTGACAACAATATGCCCAAAGTTAGGTGAGATGAAGTTTCACCACCCTTGCCGGTAAGGTGTATCCTTCTTTAACTTGCTCCAAAACAGATTTCTTGGTTCTTTTGATAGTCCATGGGATATTCAGCATTCTTGGTCAACACCACAATTTAAAGGCATTGATTCAACTTCTGTTATCCTTACTCATTCTCCAACTTTCAGATGTATAAGACCAACTGAAAACACCATGGCTTGGATCAGGCATACTTTAATCTTTAAAATGACATTATTACTCTTCAGCACTTTGGAGAGGTCCTTGGCAGTCTATTTGCCCAATGAAGTTGACAATTTAATTTTACTTAGATACATAATTAATTCCAAAGAAGGCCCACAGGAGTAGCACTTGAAATCAAAAGAGTATTTGCACTGGGTAAATTTGCTGTCAAGGATCTATCCAAAGTGCTAAAGAGCAATATTCACAACTGGAGTGGTATAAATCACAGCTACCATTTTTTAATAGTTAGAGTAATTAATAAACTTGGACACACACATCCCATTTCTAGCTCAATAACCCAAACTTAATGCAAGTCGAATCAGGTTTCCAACAATATAATCTGAATGGGAGGAGACTGTCAATCTTTCATCTGAGAAGCTGCTGACCTGTCAGGGATGTGAGCCTTTGGGTTAGCTGTACAACTTGCTCTGGACTATGGTTTGTGTCAGCAATTCCGACCACAGATATACTCAGTGAGATATGTGAAAGCTAAAATTCAATGGACTCCTGTATTTTTCCAGGTTTGGCAAGTTTTCTGCCTTTGACAGACTCCAACAACCATTTTCTTATTGCTCATTTTAGTGGTAAAATAGTTTTAAAAATTTGTATTGCTCATTGTCATGGAAAAATATTTTTTTAAATATTTATCGCTTTTAATATCTAAAATGGTTTAAAAAAGTATAAAAGAATCTTGAGATGAAAAATTTTCTGAATTACATACTTGGACATGGATAAACCTCAGAAACACAACATTAAACAAAAGCATCTCAGAAAATATAGTCTGATTCTAAAATACAGCTTGAAAACAGTATGTTGTTTAAGGGCTCATATATAGGTGATAAGAAGTATAATAAAGGTAATGAGAAGTATAAAAGAAGATAAAATATATGATAATTAAAGTGATGGAAGAGAAAATACTTCAAGGAAGTGACATAAAACAGACAGGAACTTAAGGGAGCCTAGTGGATTTGTGGCAAGGAGTTGTGCTGCTAACCCAAAGGCTTTTGGTTCAAATACACCAGCTGCCCTGTGGAAGAATGATATGCAATCTCCTCTTATGTGATTTAGAGCATCTGAAGACCCACAAGAGGATCAGCTATTAGTTCCAACATAACAACATGTAAAGGTTTTTGTACATTTCAAGGGCATAGTTTACAAACATTTTAAGAAAAGGAACAAGAGTATACCTATTCTCATTGAAAAATTCCAAAGGATCTCTCTTCTCAAACTCAAACCATATCCCAACAAAATGTTCTATTGATCTCTCAACAGAAACTTTCGTGAAAGAAGAGCTCACAGGTTTTTTTAAAAAAAGAAAGCACCAAATATACTGCACAACTATAATAACTAAAACAGTACGGTCACAACCAAATGAGTAAAAAAAGAATTTTTTTTCAGAATTTTATTTTAAAAGAGTAAAAGATATGAAGCAAGTAAAATGTGTAATGTTCTAATTTACCAAAGTATATATCAAATTGGAATATTCTTCTCAGTAATTAGTAGATAAAATATAAGCAAAAAATTAGTATAAAGTGCATGTAGCCCAAAACCCATGATCAGCAAGTCAACTCCTACTTATATCAACCCTCAGTTGTGTCTGTGTCTTATTAGGAGGAATCTGCTCATTTTTCTGCCGAGGAGAAAACACTTCAACAGCTAGAGAATTCTGGTCTTTTGGTGAGCAGCACCACCAGATGCAAGCACATCTCTTGAGAGAGTGAAAATAGAAGAATACCATCGTTTCAGGGGAATTTGCAAGCATATTATCAAATATTTTCATAAGAAATCAATCATACAGACACAAAAGACAACATTTCAAGCACTATCCTGGTCTTTCTTACAAACACTATTGAAATAATTTTTACTTTTTTAATTTTCTGTCCTGCATTAAATATTTACTGAAGATAAAGACCTGTCCAGTTATACAAGCCAGGTTTTCAACAGAAGAGTATCTTACACAATAAGGAGCATTTGTTTTGCTACATACAAGTGAGTTACTAGCATTCTCATATCTTGTGATATTAAATATCATGATCCTCTCCTTTTTTGCATGCTAACACATTTTTCTCCAAACCATGGGCCCTCAAGTCACTTGAGATTGCTACAATAAATACTTGGAAAAGCACTTTTCATTAATGTTACTATTATAATTTTATCTTACAGGGAGGCTAAAGTGTAAGCATACAGAGTACAAACAAACATGTAGTGATTGGGAAAAAAAACTACCTTAGGATTTTTCAGAGTCTCTTGTTGATCTCTTTAAGTTAATCTGCCACGTTTTCCCACAAAATGCTGCTTAGTACCACCTGCAGACAAAATAATTGGTTGCACAGCCCACTTATGACATTCTTGTATGTTAATTAAGTTCTGCTACACAATGCTCCATTACTGACAGTTTTCTTCCATGTATATTTATTTAAAAAAAAATAAATCAAGAACTGTCCTGAAGCTTCTTCTAAGTAGCAGACTGTCAAAAAAACCAACAGGTGAAGAACGTAAAATTAATGTCACTGAAAAACATACGTAGAAACTGTTGGGTTAGAAAGTGCTCTCTTTAAAAAAAAAAAAAAAAAGTGTTCTCTTGTGTGTATCTGCACCACAATTAATCTAAAAAAAAAAAAAAAAATTAAAGGATTTTCCAGTCAACCCAAACTAAATGAGCGAAATCTGCCAAGCATTTAACAATAAATAATTCATTTTAAAACTCGTGAGGATGATACTGTCCTTTGACAATTCAAAAGATGCTTAAACTGTCCTAGACTAGTCTTAAAACGGTGAGATTCATTTTGAAGTCCTACCAGAAATTTGTAAAATGGTGACTCTCAAAAAACAAGGTCAATACGTTAATAGTATTGAAAATGTTTACAAGATTGCAAAAGGTCAAACTGTTTTAAAAAGTAACTATAATTTCCTCATGCGGTCCCAATGCAAGGTAAACATGCAACAACGTGTAAATCATTAATACATGCAAAACAATCACAATTTTCAAAAAATACAATAGCAAAGACCCCAACTGCATGCACAGAAGTTCCACTTAGCTACGTCGTGCACTAACTCCGGTGGGCTGGAGCTACACAGACACAAACGTGAGCGCCCCAAAACGGATGAAGTTTTACCTGTACTTTGCGCTGCTGCTGCCGCCGCCCCTTTAGACTTCAGATAATTGTTCAATTTCTTTCCCATGCTTTTAGGTTGTATCCGCTCTTTTCACACATGTGCTTCCTTTCTCTGTGTCCCTCCTGGCCCAAGATGACATATGTAACACATATACACGAATCTTTTTTAATACATCATATAAAGTGCCGTTTTTTCTCCTTCATCCCAATGATGACCTCGAGTAGCTGTTGTAATTCTCCCTCTTCCCGAATTTCCAATAGGTAAGTGACCTCAACACCAAGTTTTTTAAAGCACTCTAAAATCCCACCTCAAAAGAACAAGCGTATTCGCACTGCAGTTCGTCTGCAATACCACCAATTTTCCTTTCTCCCTGTCGCCGTGACAAAAGCCTGCGGAGGAGACGAGTGCCAATAGCAGGGTGGAAAGACAGAGAGGGGAGCCCCGATTACGGGTTCTGGTCACGGCGCTGGGGCACTCAGTGTCGCTCTCGAGTCGACGCAGATCCAAGGTGCTGAAAGGAGAGAGGGATGTTGAGCCAAGTGATCAAGCCTCGGAGCAAGTCAGATTCGTTGCGCTCTTCAGCAAAGCCTTCTGCCCTACTAATAAAAAGCCAGAGAAAAGATAGCACCCCGTGACGCTACCCAGGTTGGCGTAATATGTCGACTTTCTTACAGCTAGTGGCAGGCAACCGGAAGTAAAACCTCCCAGCCGAAGGAAAATGTGAAAAAAAAAGAGAAAGTGAAAACTGAACTGGGGCAACCTCTTCGGAGGTAGTAACAAATCACAGAGAAGACACTGAAAGCGCAGGCGCAGGTTGTGTTCGCAGTACACGCGGCACTTGTCGGCTTTCTCTGCGCAGGCGCGGAAGGCAGGAACTCGGCCTAGGATTGGAGCGCTGAGCTAGCCACGGACCGGAAGGGCGGCTCCGGCTGTCCGCTGCCTCTGCTGCCGTGTGTCCATTCGGAAACCACGCGCCCAAAGATCCCTGACAACAACCGTGGCGAGTCTGCGAGTTTAGAGAAGGAAAATTCTGGCCGAAGTCATGCTTTTGGGATCCTTCCATTATCTCCAGTGTCCACTGATGCGACACTTCTTGGATTTTTCCTTGCCTGAGTGCGGCAATTAATAAATTTCATAAATTCATATATATTCATGTAATAGTTCATAAAATCCATAAATTATAACGTTGTACATGGGATATTGTGGGTGTGCTAGTTCTCCAGAAAAATGCCTCTGGAGGTTTATAGTCTATACAGAGAAAGCAGAGATCATAATACTAGTTCGTCTCTCACTTGATCGGCAATAAGTACTGTTGAGAGGTGTTCGAACTTACTCAGAACCAGAGTATACTGTGCAGTACGCTGCAAACGGAAAAATGTACTTATTAAAGGTATGGTTTGCAGTTTCCTATGGGTATTGTGTTTGTCAGTGAGTGGTGGTGCTGTTTTCTGTTAGTCACACTCGAATAAATTCCAAGGACCTCATTGAACTTGAGGGCAAATCTCTACCTGGATGGCTTAAGAATTCCAGTTGCTGGCCTTTCCTTTGGCAAACCAACCCTTAAATTGCTAAGCCACGAGGGCTCCTTTGGTAGACAAAGAGAAAGAATTTCAGAAAGGAATGCATGCTGTGAAAGAAAGCTCAAATGCCAAATGAGAGGGAGGAGCTAAAGCTGGAGCCCAGGCATAGCAAAACAAGAGCTGAGTGGGGTATATTTAAGGTGAAATTAAAACCCACTAAAATACCCTAACAGTTTCTGTGGAAGCAGCAGTCAAAAAAACAACAGACATTAATGTGATAAATAAGAACGGCACCTTGAGGTCTAAAGTGTGTTTGGCCTAAGTGACAGTGTTTTCATTTGCTTCATATGCATGTGAAAATTAAACAACTAGTAAAGAAGATGAAAGAAGAATTGATGCCTTTTGAATTGTGATGTTCGTCAATAATACTGTCTGTGAGTGGTACTTGACAGCACAAAAAAACAATACCATGGACTATCACAGGAAAAAAAAAAATTAAAACCCCAAATCTGTCTTGGAAAAAGAGCAGCCAGAATGATTTTTAGAAACAAAGATGGTGAGGCTTTTCCTAATAGATAAAAGGCATGTTATCAGAAGGCACTAGTCCCTGGAGAATCCAGATCCTCAGGGAACTGGATTGTCTCAATGATGGCAACTGATTGGGAAAAAGGTGCAGGATCAGTTGGTACTTCCTTCGGTTATACTATATATATAAATAAGGTCACTATGAGCAGACTTAACTCACTGGTACTTAAGCAACAACAAGGCGAAACTTCAACGACAAATGGCTGAACTTGCCTTTAGAAGACCTTGAGGAAGAACTTTCAAAGCAAGTGCTTTCTGTTGTCCTTATCGTCAAGACAAAACCACCTCGACCCCCAGTAGGTTTCCATAAATCACACAACAGAGACTGCCCATCTTACTCCCTCCCTGTTGCTTATGGATTCAAAACACCAGAAAATTTCAGCCTTTGCATAAGCATCACAGCTCACTTTGAGCTCACCAGAGTTCCCTAAAGCAAATGAATGCCTACCTAGGTCCTGAAAGGTAAAATTAAGCATAGTCAGCAACTCAAGAGGTCTGGCTGGGAAAAGTACACAAAATGAGAATATGTAGTTCACCACAAAGAAAATAATTATGAATCAGAATATAGGTCAAGAAATAAAGCATGTTAGAACAAACCAATTGTCATCAAATTGACATCCAACTCAGTAATCCTACAGAGTAAAACTTTCCCACAGTGTTCCCGAGATGATAAATCTTTATGTAAGCAAATTCTACATTATACTGGGGAGTTGTTGAGGGTTCAAACTGTCACTTTTTCCATTACAAATTGAACACTTTAACCGCTATACTAAGTAACCACTATTATAACTTCCATGATAATATCTTTATGGATTTATCACTTAAGTATGCATTTCTAAACTTTCGGTTTTGCTCATGTAATGAATTTTATGTCACTGAACTATTTGTGTCTGATTGCATTGGATTAATGTTATGTTTATAAATGTTATGTTTATAAATTGTGTTTTGTGTGTGTTTTCATTTTTGTTGATGCACACGTATGAAGGTATCATCCAGGGAGAGTGCAAATGGTCATTACAAAGAAGAGGAGAAAGACCAAATTAGATGTCAGAAAAAAACTCTGAATATTACACTGGAGTACAGAGAAGCCAAAACAGAAGGGAAAATTCAAGATATTAAAGAGCTGAATAGAAAATTCCGAAGGGCAGCACGGGATGACAAAGCAAAATATTACAATGAAATGTGCAAGGAGCTGGAGTCAGAAAATCAAAAGGACCAAACTCGCTCAGCATTTATTAAGCTCAAGGAACAAGAACAAATTCCAACCTCGAGTTGCTATAATCAAGGATGCTTTGGGCAGAATATTGAGTGATCCTGCAAGTACTAAAAGAAGATGGAAAGAATATACTGAGTCACTGTATCAAAAGGATTGGCAGACACAGAAGACTTTAATGAAACAACACATGAGCAAGACCCTATGGTGATGAGGGAAGAAGTTCAGGCTGCTTTGAAGGAAATAGCAAAAAATAAGGCCCCAGGAATAGATGGTATACCAATTGACGTATTTCAGCTAACAGATGCTGCCCTGGATGTGCTCATCAAGTTGTGCCAAGAAATCTGGAGAACAACCATTTGGCCAACTGTCTGTAAGAGATCTATATTTGTTCCCATTCCAAAAAAGGGTGACCCTACAGAGTGTGGAAACTATATAACTATATCATTGATTTCACATGCAAGCAAGATTCTACTGATGAATATCCAAAAAGGAGTGGAACAACACATCAGTAGAGAACTGCCAGAACTCCAGGCTGGGTTTAGCAGGGGTCGTGGTACTAGGATAGCTAATGTTAGGATGGATCTTGGCTGAAAACAAAGAGTATCAGAAGAATACCTATATTTGTTTCATTGATTGCGCAAAGCCATTTGACTGTGTGGATCATAACAAACTGTGGCTAACTCTGAAAAAAATGGGAATCCCAGAACACTTGATCATGCTAATGCAAAACCTATGCTTGGACCAGGAGGCAGTCGTCAGAACAGAGCAAGGAAACACTGCATGGTTCAAAACTGGGAAGGGTGTATGACAGGGTTATGCCTTATCTCCATATCTTTTCAATCTATATGTGGAACAGATTATCTGGGAGGCTGGGCTCTATGAGGAGAAACGTGGCATCAGGATTGGAGGAAGAATCATCAACAATCTGTATTATGCAGAGGATACAACCCTGCTTGCTGAAACTGAGGAGGACGTGAAGTACTTGCTGTGGAAGGTCAGGGTCTTCAGTACAGTTTGAGGCTCAATATCAAGAAAACAAAGATTCTCACCAGTGGGACGATTGGCAACATCATAATGGATGGAGAAGAGGTTGAGATTGTTCACAGCTTTAGTTTGCTTGGCTCCACAGTCAACACTCTTGGCACCAGCTTGTTGTTGTTATTGTTATGTGCCGTCGAGTCGTTTCGACTCATAGCGACCCTATGCACAACAGCCCTAAACCCTGCTCTATCCTACGCCAACTGCACTGCCTCTGACACACCGGTCCCAATTACCCCAGCCACCGAATCAATCCATCTCATAGAGGGTCTTACCCTCCTGTGCTGTCCCTCCACCCTCCCAAGCATGATGTCCCTCTCCAAGGACCCGTCCCTCCTGGCAACATGTCCAAAGTATGTCAGACGAAGCCCCAGAATCCTTGCCTCCAAGGAGTAGCTTGGTTTAATCCTCTCCAAGATGAAGCGGTTGGTTTTCCTGACAGTCCATGGTACATTCAGTACTCTTCTCCAGCACCACAGCTCAAAAGCATCCACTCTCCTTCTGTCCTCCCTAGTCATTGTCCAACTCTCTGATGCATAACAAGCGATTGCAAAGACCATGGCCTGTATCAGGCACACCTTAGTCTCCAGAGAGACACCGTTACTCCTGAGTATTTTAGAGAGGTCCCTAACAGCAGACTTTCCCATCGAAATACACTTTTTGATTTCCTGACTGCTGGTGCCAAGAGTGTTGACTGTGGAGCCAAGCACACTGAAGCTGTGAACAATCTCAATCTCTTCGCCATCCATCCTGACGCTGACAATTGGTCCAGTGGTGAGAATCTTTGTCTTCTTGACATTGAGCCTCAGTCCATACTGAAGGCTGCAGTTCTTGACCCTCCACAGCAAGTGCATGAGGTCCTCCTCAGTTTCAGCAAGCAGGGTTGTGTCATCTGCATAACGCAGATTGTTAATAGATCTTCCACCAATCCTGATGCCACAATTCTCCTCATAGAGCCCAGCCTCCTGGATAATCTGCTCTGCATACATGTTGAAAAGGTATGGAGACAGGATGCATCCCTGGCGTACACCCTTCCCAATTTTGAACCATGCAGTGTTACCCTGCTCTGTTCTGACTACTGCCTCTTGGTCCAAGTATAGGTTTCACATTAGCACAATTAAATGTTCTGGGATTCCCATTCTTCTCAGAGTCAGCCACAGTTTGTTATGATCCACACAGTCAAATGCCTTTGCGTAATCAATGAAACACAGACATTTTTTCTGGTATTCCTTGCTTTTAGCCAAGATTCATCTAACATCAGCAACAATATCCCTAGTACCACGACCCCTTCTAAACCCAGCCTGGACTTCTGGAAATTCTCTGCTGATGTGCTGTTCTAATCGTTTTTGGATAATCTTCAGTAGAATCTTGCTTGCATGTGAAATCAATGGCACTGTTCTGTAGTTTCCACACTCAGTTGGGTCACCCTTCTTTGGAATGGGAACAAATATAGATCTCTTCCAGTCAGTTGGCCAAGTGGTTATTCTCCAGATTTCTTGGCACAACTTGGTGAGCACATCCAGGGCAACATCTGTTATCTGAAATACTTCAATTGGTATACCATCTATTCCTGGGATCTTATTTTTTGCTATTTCCTTCAAAGCAGCTTGAACTTCTTCCTTCATCACCATAGGCCCTTGTTCACATGTTATTTCATTATAGGAAAGTCTGCGGTTAGGCACCTCTCTAAAGTAATAAAGTGCA